ATTCTAGAGAGCAGACCTTTGTCTGAGTGCTTATTAGTTAAGATTTTTTTGATGTTTGTGGGTTGTCTTTTCACTTTGTTGGTAATTTCTTTTGATGTGCAAAAACCTCTCAGTAAGTCCCAGTTGTTAATTCTTTCAAGTATTACCTGTGCAATTTGATTTCTGTTCATGAACTCTTTGCCTACCCCTGTCTTTAAGAGTTCTTCCTACTTTCTTCTCCAGGAGATTTAGTGTTTCTGTTTTAATGTTTAGATCTTTAATCTATTTTATCTTGAGCTTTGTGCATGGTGATAGACCTTGGTCAAGTTTTAGTTTTCAGCATTTGGAGAGCCAGTTTTGCCAGTACCATTTGTTAAAGAGGCTATCTTTCTTCCAATAATCATGTTTGGCCCCTTTGTGGAAGACAAAGTTGCTGGGTATATTCATAGAGGCTTCTGCATCTTCTAATCTATTCCATTAATCCTTAGGTCTATTTCGTTGCCAATACCATGCTGATTTTATCACAGTAGCCTTGTAGTATAATTTCAACTCAGGAATTGTAATGCCTTCTGCCTTGTGATTGTTGCCCAGGATTGCCTTTGCTATTCTATGTCTTTTCTGGTTCCAAATAAATTTTAGGAATGATTTCTCTAGGTCTGTAAGGTATGTTTGTGGTAGTTTGATAGGGATTGCATTCAATCTGTACAGCAGTTTTGGGAGTATGGCCATCTTCACAATGTTGGTTCTTCCTACCCAGGAGCAGTGAATATCTTTCCTTTTTCTGAAATCCTCTATGATCTCTTTTTTCAGAGTACTGTAATTTTCCTTGAAAAGATCTTTGACTTGTTTAGTTAGATTAATTCCAAGGTATTTCATTTTCCATGGTGCTATTGTAAAAGATATTGTTTCTCTAATTTCCCTCTCATTTTATTTGTTTTCTGAGTGGAGGAATGCTATTGACTTTTGGGTATCCACTTTGTATCCTGCTATGCTACTGAATTTGCCTATCAATTGTAGTGGCTTCTTGGTGGAGTTTTTTGGGTCTTCCAAGTAAAGTATCATGTCATCTGCAAATAATGATAGTTTAACTTCTTCTTTACCTATTCTTATTCCTTTTATTTCTTTCTCTTGTCTAATCACTCTAGCTAATGATTCCAGAACTATATTGAATAGGAGTGGTGATAGAGGACATCCTTGTCCTGTATAAGATCTGAGAGTAAAAGATTTTAGTTTTTCCCCATTTAGAATTATATTAGCTGTTGGGTTCTCAGAGATGGCTTTTATCAGATTGAAGTAGAAGCCATATATTCCAATTTTCTGTAGGACTTTGAACATGAATGAGTGTTGGACTTTGTCAAAAGCCTTTTCTGCATTGATTAAGATGATCGTTGATATCAAGTATTACATTTATAGATTTGCTTGTATTGAACCATCCTTGCATGCCTGGGATGAATCCTACGTGGTCATGTTGTATGATCTTGATGATTTGCAGTATTATACTTGCTAGGATTTTATTGAGGATATTTGCATCTATGCTCATGAGATTGGCCTGTAGTTCTCTTTTTTAGTTGCATCTTTCCCTGGTGTTGGTATCAGTATAATATTTGCCTCCAGGAATAATTTTGGAGTTTCCTTTTCAATTTCATTGAGGAGTTTGAGGAGTATAGGGATTATATCTTCTGTAAATTTCTTGTAGAATTCATCTGTGAATCCATCTGGACCTGGACTTTTCTTTGTTAGTAGGTTTTTTATTTCATTTCGTATTTCATTGGCTGTTATTGGGCTATTGAGAGTTGTGTGTCTTCTTGACTCAGTTTTGGTAATTTGTACCTTTCTAGAAATCTGTCCATTTCTTTTGTGTCTTCTATTCTGTGAGAGTAAATTTTCTCATTATTTTTAAGAGATGTTTCTTTTCATGTTCACTAGCTGCAATGATATTTTCAAGGTCAGAAATTCTATATTCTGTTTCATTCAAGTAGTTTTGCAAGCTTTCATGAAATACTTAATGTCCTGGATATCTGTTTGAATCTGTTTCATGCATTCTAGTTCTTTCCTGTGTTGTTCATTCAATGTTTCCATCATTTTCCTATTTCTTTATATTTTTTTTTTATTTTTGTCTATCTTAGATGCATGAAGCCATTCTTTCTTGAGTGTTATTATTTCCTTTTTTATGAAACAGATCATTTCTAATGTGATTTCCTCCATAGGCTGATGGAATTGTTTGTTTATTTCAGTTGGTATCATCTCATTTCAGGCTTGTGTGACTTCCAAGTTCTTCTCTGACCTTGTCTTCTGGACTTGCTTTACATGGGCTAGAGGACTGAGATTGCCTTTTTTTTTCTCTCTGACATTGTAGTGATGATAGTGGGGTGGGGTATGGGTCAACAAGGCTTTCATGAGAGTGGGAGGGCAGGTTAGCCTCACGAAAGCTCCTGCTGTGTGGTGTTCGATGTGGCTTCCATCTCATTAAGGAGATGAACTGGGGCAAGCCGCAGTTCAAGAAGCATCCAGGGATGAAGAGTGCAGGCTGAGGATGTGCAAGGCTCTCTCCGTGGTGGATTGCTAGAGGGTAGTGCTCCCCAAGGGTCCTGCAACTTGCTGTGATAATGATGTCTCCCCAGTTGGCTTCAGGTCAAGGACAGGCAGCTGGGCTCAGGGGAACTTAGGCAGATTCCTGGGGGGTTGGGACTATGGCTACCGAGTCTTCCCAGCTGTCTTCAGGTAGAGGAGGAGTGGCTGGATTCAGAGGTTCTCCAGCAGGAAAGCTGAGGAAGGACAGGGCTGGCCTACCAAGTCTCCCTGGCAGTCTTCAGGGTAAGGAAGGGCAGCCAGATTCTGTATATGTATTTCTAATGCATTTTTAATCATTTTATGTCTTCTCAGTATCAAGATTGGTATCCATACTTGGAGCCTTCATGTTACCCTTTGGATACTTTTCGTTTATTCTTACCGCCTATGGAACTTAAATGCTAGTACTGTGCAGTTTTATTTTTTACTTTGGACAGAATCTTAGTGATCAATGCTATACAATAAAGCTAAGCTTTTGTTTCTAAAACTTAGGTTGATTTTTAAATGTATATTCCTATACTCCAGTTACTACAGGCTCTAATTAAATAAATCTGGACTAGAGTTCAAGTGTCTGCATTTTTAGCAACTCACACAATTAGTGTAGGTGTAGGTACTGACACAGGTGATGTCAGATATTTCTTTTATAGTAAATGAGACTGAAAGTAATGTTAATTTACCTTTGTAGGATGTGTAGCCCTTCTGTGAAGCATGTGAGCCTGATCTTTACATTAAAATCTTACCCTTTCAGTTAGCTTTGTGATATTGGGCAAGCTATTTAGCAACTTAGTATTTTGATTCCTTTATCTATGCAGTGAGAAAATTATGTTATCTTTGTTAGAAAGTAATGTGAATTAAATACACAAATGCACTGAAAGAGTCTGGGCACAGAGGAAATGTATTGTTGTTTATTCCTCTGGCCTTAAATCTTATGTACTTATGAGTCGCTTTAGTGCTTAGTTCATGTTTATTTAGTGCTGTCATTGTCTCCTTATGAAGAAGGTTCAGCTGAACAGCCTAGACTATACTTATTTTGTGTCTTTCACTCCACTTACTGCACTGTATAAACATTCCCACTTCTTCTTCTGTATCCCCCAACAGTCATGGTCACGTTAAGAGTGATGGCCATGGTCTAGTAACATTTGCATTTCAGCACTCAGCACCTTCGCTAGAATGCTGTTCAGCTGAGGATGGCATTTGGCTGAAATGTGGAAAACGGTCAGTTCTTGGGCTTACCTGGCAATGTTCCAGGGGCAAAGACAAAAGAAATATTTTCCAGAGTTGCACCTGAATGGTATTTGTGTTAAAAAATTTTAAACACTTGTTCGTTTCATCGATATTTGCTGATCATTTACCTTGTGAGCATAAACACTTTGCAGTACTACAGTAGTATTCACTGTGACCAGCGTCCTGTATCAAATACTTACTGGGTTTGTCCTTTAATATTTTCAGACCTCTAGCAGTGGGAGGCACTCTGTTCGCATCACTGGTCTCAGTACTATTGATTTCCGAGCTGGTTTTTCCCGAAAGCCCACTCTGGACTTCAAGAAAACAGTCAACAGACCTGTGCAAGGTTTGTATGTGCATGCTACCTAAACTAGCTCAGTAGCTACTGAAGCAAAAACTAGTTCTCGGTCTGTGAGTTACAATCTTGCAGGACTCAGTGAGTTGAGAAGCAGAGCACCATTAGTTTAAACATGATTGCTTTTTTGGCCTAGCATTTGTGTTTCAAAGTGTAGTCCCAAGGCCAGTGGTATCGGATCTCGGGGGCCTTTGTAAAATGTAAGGTTCTTGTGGCTCACACCAGTGTCCTGAATGAGAACCATGGAAGACAGGACCTAGAGATAATCATTTTAGCCAGCATGCCAATGATTCCTTCTACTTACTAATTATAGAGAAATACTAATTTTTTCCTTACTAAATCTCTACAAATTGTCCTACTGTCCAATGAAGTTCATGTATATAGCCAAAAAAATTAAAGACACCATGTACCATTATATAGTCAAAGATGAAACTATTGATGTTGTTAAAAGTTATCCTTGCTCCCATTTTTCTTAGGATTCATAATGTGAAAGCTAAAAAGAAAGCTCAGTCATAAAACTCAATTGTGGGGCCGGGGAGATGGCTCAGTGGAATAAGCGCTTCCCTGGCAAGCACAAGGGCCTGAGTTCAGTCCCCGGTTCCGCCAAAAAAAACCAACTCAATTGTAATCTTTACAATTTGTTTCTGTTCTTTGTTCTTTTTATTCTTGCAGTTTCCATAAGATATAAAATAATGAATATTTAAAAGTACTCATCTAATCAACCCTGTAAGATAATATTCATAATTATAATTTTTTATGCATAAACAGTTAAAATACTATAAAAGTAATTATGAGAACTTTGTAAATGCCTGTAATTACATGTAAGCTTTCTGAATAGAAGACATTCTATACGTGCTAGACTCTTAGTAGAAAAATTTGTAATACTCATCCTTATGGTACTTATATGTCATTATAATGCAAATATTTATTTCCTGTATGACTTCAATTGCATGCTACTTATAAATGATAATAAAGCCTTTCTTTTGTAGGAATACCAACATACGTGCTGTTGAATACTTCTGGGATTTCCAGTCCAGCTAGGGTAGATCGACTTGAGCTTCTAAGTATCTCAGGAAATTCCCTGAAGACTATTCCTGTTAAATATTACCCAGATCGAAAACCTTACGGCATATGGAACATTTCTGATTTTATTCCTCCAGATGAGGCTTTCTTTCTCAAAGTGACAGGCTATGACAAGGATGATTATCTCTTCCAGAGAGTGTCAAGTGTTTCCTTTTCTAGTATTGTCCCAGGTGAGGCATCATTTTCTACAACCTGGGCATATGGATAGCTTAAGGAGGCCTGGCGGTACAGAATGGACTATGAAACAAAAAGTAATGGGGCTGGGGAGATAGTTCAGTAGAATAAGCACTTGCGTAGCAAGCGCAAGGGCCCGAGTTTAATCCCCAGTTCCACATAAAAAAAAGAGCATAAAACAAAATATAAGGTTTTCAAGTTACTACTTTGTTACTAAATTGATTAGCATTTGCGTATATGTAATAGCTCAGTTTTTTAAAATCATTAAATGACATGTCTGTGTAACAACCATTTTAACATGTTGTCTTCCTGATTGTATATTTGGGTATTTTGATTAGTTTAATTAATTCTAAGAGCATGTACTAGGAAATTCTTCTACTCTGTCCCTTAAAAAGTCTTGATTAAGCTATTGAAATTGGCTTAATGTCTAAATACAGTTGTCTGACACTTTTAGCTTCATGAGCAGTACCGCACCATGAGCAACTGATGATCATTGTACTTTGATTGGATTAGTTAATTATTAAAGTATCTTACTCTTCTGTAGTATGGAGATGGTATCACAGATTAGAGATTATCTGGAAGTATTTCCATTTACTCATAATTGAGCAACTTCTCAAGGTTAACTGAACTGACCAAGACACTAGATCTACAGCATGAACTATGGACCTACATCAATGTGGTGGGATTGTTTTTGAAACTGTATTATGAAGTAATGAATCAGCTTAAAAAAACAAAGACAGTTAAAGTAATTTTTAGTGACTTTTGCTAATGGGAATGCACAAGATTTACAGGAATAATTTAAATATGAAACTTGTAAACACATATAGAAGAAGAACCTAAAATCATTATGATTTTTTGGCCTGTTTTTTTTTTTCTTCTTCTTCTTCTAGATGCTCCAAGGGTTACAATGCCAAAGAAAACCCCAGGATACTACCTGCAGCCTGGCCAAATTCCCTGCTCTGTTGAGAGTCTTTTACCCTTCACCTTGAGCTTTGTCAGGAATGGAGTTACACTTGGAGTAGACCAGTATTTCAAGTGTGTAAATGTTTCTTTTTTCTTTCTTTCTTTTAAACTGTATTTAGTGCAGGGTGTACAGGATCTCATTACACAGATCAGACTCGTACTGATCCTCCTGTTTTCAGCCTCCCAAGATCTGGGATTACAGGCATGCTTCACCACACCCAATCTCAGTCTCTGTCTCATTACGCCCCAGAGGCCGGGCCAGCATGGCATGCCCAGGATCAAACTCTGGTCCCTACATCTGAGTTATCTGGATGGCCTCCTGAAGTGTGTAAATGTTTCTATCAGTAATAATTTATTGCATTAAGCATATAAATACCAATACTTATTTTAGTGACTTCTTCACTGAAAAATTTTCATTACTTCATTATGTTATAATGTGGTTTTTCTTTTTTTAAAGCTTTTATTTATTTATTTATTTATTTATTTATTTATTTATTTGATCTTGCTGTGCAGTTCAGATTTGTAGTGATCCGCCTGTCTCAGCCTTCCCAATGCTGGGATTACAGGTGTGCACCATCCCACCAAGTTTTGGTGGCTGGCATGGTGCATGTGGGGTCTTGGGGGCCAGAAAGGCGTGTGGTACTGGGGATTGAATCTGGTGATTGTGCTTGCCAGCCAGGTGCTTAGACTGCCAAGCCATCTCTCCAGCCTGGAAGTGCTACTTTTTGACATATCATGAAACAAGCTACATTTTGAGAAAAAAATACTGGGTATTACTGTACCAAACTTTTAGACTATTAGTTCAATATTAGCATAATTTATTAAGTATCTGACAGTCTTAGTTTATACCATCTTTTTCTGAAGAGTCATTTTAAGCAAAAATCTATGGCAAAAGTACTTAACATGACTAGAATATTTTCCATTCTTTAAAAATTGAATTGAGTGGGTTCTTGCTCCTTAGTGTGTCTCGATGATTTACTTAGCTTCGTATTTTATGAGCAACAACATAAGTGACCAAGATACCAAATGATGAAGCTACATAGCTGGCTGATGAAATAAAATACTTCTGTTTTCTGTTTCAATAATAACATTCTTCAAAGACACTTGAGATTCCTTATAAACATTAATTCATTAATGCCACACAATTCCTGGGAGGTAAGCCACAAGAATTCTTTTCCTCATTTCTCCAGCTCTGTGGCTGGTGCTCAGATATGACATGTTTGCTGAGGCGTGAGGTCTTGAATGTGTATATCTAGGATGTGAGAGGCTAGAGACAGAATTAGACATAAGTGGTGACAGAATGATGGTCTTATTCTGAGTCACTCGTATGTCTCTGCTCTAGCTTTCCTTGTAATGTGAAACATGTGACTTTGTCTTTGTTTATGTCAGTCACTTTGGTCACTAGGGGATATAATAAGGATCACTTTGCCTTAGCAACAAGACTCATTTCTACTGGACATGTTCTTTTTCCTTCCCTAAAGTTCATCCCTTAGGAACGTGGAAAATATGTGGCTAGCTAGTGCTTGCTTAAAGTGAAAATTCTACATGAAAAAGAGAATTATTTTCATGTAGTATTTCACAAACAAGGAGAAACTAAGCCAAGTGTAATGCAAAAAGCATTCTTTAAGCAATAAGCAAGGTGGTCATGTGATTTTTGAGCAAATTACTTGTCATTCAAGTTTCCTAATTTTAAAATGAAAGAGTCAGGACCAGAAGGATTGTCACTTTGTGTTCTAAGATTTTCATGAATCCAAATTTTTGATGAATTCTAATATGGCATATGCTTGGCTCTGGAGCAGACCCTGCAGAGAACACCAAAGAGTAGATGTTCTAAGTTCCTGTTTTCCTAGAATTTAGTGTATCTCCTAGGAAATCACATTTTCAAACTTGTACCTAGCTTCTTGCATTTAAGCATTCGTAATACAGCTTAAATGACCAATATAGAATAATTAAAGATATTCCATCTTCTTCTCAATGTGATGCTGAGAACCATGTATATATAGTGCATGTAGAAATTAAAACTTTAACAAATGTGAATAGATTCAGTTATTATAATACATAGGACAATAATCTTGATTGGTTTTTCACTTTCCTGATGGTAGGAACCTACGACTTAATGTTGTTTCACAAATCCTAGGTGAATAATACAAATAAGTTAAGCTCTGTAAGTTCTTCCTGGTTATTTGATGTGGGATAGGTGTAATGTGTCTATGGGGGAGAAATTTGAAGATATCACTGGTGGTATGACCTTTTATACTGCTATCAGTTTAGTCCTCAATATGTAATAGGTTTTCACCTTTATTATAGCTAGAATTTTAAAAATTGAACAGCTATAATGATAAAGTAAAGACATGAAAATATTTATGACATGTCAAGTGCATTTTAAAATAGTATAATTCCTATACTTCAGATTATTAGACTATTTCAAACAAGAATTAAGTATCTATTTACTACCATATTTCTGGAAATTAAGAAGTAATTTGGACAGCGCTAAAAGACAAGGAATAAATATTGTTAATTGAATGAATATTAGTAATGGAATAAATGCATAATACAGAAGATGGATTCTTTTAGTCTAAATGATAGAATTTCACTTAAAATTGATACTTTTAAAATTTGTTTGAATCAGGTATGGCATATATCACCATATATAATTTATACATAAGAAAATCGAGAAAAATTTTTCTTGGAATTGAAAATTTCATTTTCTATCTGCATGTTTCTAATAAACTGGTTCAGCATGTTGGTTACAGTCTTTAATGAACATAGTCAAAAACTGGAAAAGGTAGGGAAAAGATTAATAATTATTTTTAGCTCTTTTATATTTTAATATAGCCAGACAGTTATTCTTCAAAGAAATTTGCTGGCTTCATAATTATTGTCATCATTGTATCTTTTGCTCTGAGTAGAAAGTTTTGACTTTTTGTTAAAAATAGCTAAAGTGTGTAATTTTTAAGATAAAAGTAATTCTGCAGTTTTATCAATTTATTTTGCTTTACACTGCTCTTTTGAATGACTCCTTCAAAAAGAAATAGATCATTGCTTTCAACTGAGTCTTGTTCTTATAATAAATATGTTTTCTATGTCTCACTCCCAGGGAGTCCTCCACTATAAACTGGGATATTGAAAAAGTCACTTTGTCTGATGAAGGCACCTACGAATGCATTGCTGTCAGCAGTGTAGGGACTGGACGGGCCCAGACGTTTTTTGATGTATCAGGTACTTATCCCTGAGTTCTTGTCGGTTGCCAGCACACAGCTGGAGCTTTACATGGGATTTTTGCTCACCAGTTTTGTACAGTGGTGTTCATGATTTTTTAAAATAATGTCTCTACCTCACTGTATTGTGCACTGAAATCCTGTCTTCACCACATACCAGCTGTTTGACCTTCCTTGTGCCATTAGGGACTCAATATCTTAGTTTTCCTAACTGTAAGAAGAATATAATAAGAATAGTAGTTCTACCACAGGGAGAAGTTGTGAGAATTACCGGTTGGAGGCCTCATGGCTTCAGTCAGCACTGCAGGCCTGCGTGGGACAGGTGGCTCCCAGAGGTTCACTTACTATGAGGCCCTTGCCCTGGGCCTTGGGAAAGCTCACAAGTAAACGTGCAAAGCCAGTTGTTAATGTTCAGTCCTGCTCAGAGCTGCTTCATAGTGGGCTCCATCAATTTAATACAACTGCATAGTTGTATTAATTTTTCTGTACTGATTTTTTATATAGCACAAAATCTCTCACCCAATGAACACATATATACATACACTCAGAGTATATTGATTTACGTGAATTCACACAGCTGTGCAGGAGTAGGACCTGACAGCCTGTGATTGCCAGACTCAGAAAATAGAAAAATAGGATGCCCAGGTAAAACTGAATTTCATGTAAGTGTGTCTCACATGCTTCTTATGCCATAATAAAATAGTATTTGATGTTTACCAGAAATTCAAATTTAACAGTGTCCTTTATCTTTTGTGTCAACCCTAGCCAGGCTGCAGTCAAAACTTCCTAATTTTGTCACATACTGTTTCTATTAGATTAACTTCCTGTTTACATTGAAGGTTCTAAAAACATGGCAGAATGATAAAAATTTATGTTTATTTTGAAAAGTAATTTAAAAATAGCACTTAGAAAAAGTTTGGTATACAAAGATAAATACAATAGAAAATTTGCAAACGTTTCTATTGCTCAGAGATAACCACTGTGGTGTTTGGCACGTTTGCTTCCAGTCTTTATTCTAGGCTTCTGATACTTATCTGCTTTTGTTCATAGCTTTAAATACATTAGGGTAAACATGGTCTCGAGCATCTGACATGAGTTTGTATGTTAACTAAAACAAACAAATAGATTTTCAACTAGCAATTATCATCAGTTTTTATTGCTGTATTATTTATAATGGATTGCTGTGGGAGATTGTTTTAAAGCATTTGGCAGAGTAAGCTGTAGAGGAGGAATTTAACTTTGGCTTCAGAACT